CAGCCCCTGAAGTTCTTTTCCACAACTTGCCGCACCTCACCACCAGATGTCAGGGTGGAGCCCATCCTGACTCTGCTTACACATCAACTCTGTATTTCGTAAGGGAGGAAATAGTGCATTCCACCACCAGCATAGTGTACTGTAAAGTATCCAGGAGTGGGCTGTCTGGCTGACTGTGTTTCCCCTACGTTTCTGGGTCTCAGCTTAATCAACATGCAAGAAACACAACACAAAAGAAATCGCATCTTACCTTCTTCCTGGTTCTCTTGCACTCAAGCAGACAGAGGGGCCTCTGTGAATTTTGGGTTTCACCTTCTTGCCTCCCTCAGTCTGAAGGAGCCTGTCCTAACTTCAGTATCTCTTGTCTATCCTGTCTCGGCTGGTGGAAGTCGATGTACCTCCTTTTACTGCAAAGGAACTATACCAGTTTACCAGGATGATCTTCCCACTGGGTTCATCCCTCAGACTGCGTCTCCACCTCTGGGTCCTAATGCTGGTGAATTGGCCAGACAGCAGGTTGTGACAGGAGCAAAACCAGGCACAACTGGGTCACTCAGAAGACCCCACTGTCCACATATAGTGTGGGAGAAGATGAGCTGCTCTTTAATCCTGAAGAGTGATATTTCATTAACTCTTTATGTGCTGCATGCAGACAGGCACAGTCTAGCAGTCAGAACACAGGGCAAGGAACCAGGTACTGCCATGTTCTATCCAGTGATGAGCTGCCAAAATCTTAACAACGGGTTCCCTCCTCACCCCACGAGGGGGTCGTTGCTCACCGCCGCCCCCCAGGACTCCTGCCCCATCCAACCCCCCACATTCCTTGACGCATCCACCCCCCTCCCCTGTCCCCTGACTGCCCCCAGAACCGGGCAGGAGGGTCTCGTGGGCCACCGTAGTGGGTGCCCACCCCACCCCTAAGAGCCAGAGGGACCTGCCGGTGGGCGAGGTGGGGAGTCCCGGCGGTGCTTACCTGGGACAGCTCCCAGGAAGCCGCCGGCAGGTCCCTCTGGCTCCTAGGGGCGGGGGAGTGTAGCTGGGGGGGGAGCAGGGGGAGCGGCCCCTCCCCCCACTGATCGCATCAAAAGTGGCTCCTTAGGTGCCGACTCCCTGGGTGCTCCGGGGCTGGAGCACCCACGGGGAAAATTTGGTGGGTGCAGAGCCCCCACCGGCAGCTCCCCGCCCTGCGCCCGGCCCCAGCTCACCTCTCCTCTGCTCCGCCTCCTCCCCTGAATGCGCCACCCCACCCTGCTTCTCCTCCCCCCCCCCCCCGGCTTCCTGCAAATCAGCTGTTCATGCGGGAAGCCGGGGAGGGCTGAGACGCAGGCGGCAGCTTCCCGCTCAGGCCGAGTGTGGCAGAGATGAGCTGGGGCGGGGAGCGATTCTGCTGCACGCCCCCCACCCCCCCTGGTTACCTGCTGCGGCGCGGGCAGCCCTCCTCGTGCCCCCCCAACCAGAGCTCACCTCCGCCTCCCTGGGCCTGAGCGGGAAGCTGCGGCCTGCTTCTCAGCCCGCCGCGGCTTCCCGCGCGAAGAGCTGATTCACGGGAAGCCGGGGGGGGGGGGGCGGAGAAGCAGGGGGGGGCAGCACGTTCAGGGAAGGAGGCAGAGGCGAGCTGGGGCCGGGGCGGGGAGCTGCCGGTGGGTGCTCTGCACCCACCAAATTTTCCCCTTGGGTGCGCCAGGGCTGGACCACCTGTGGAGTCGGCACCGGTTCTAAAAGGGCTTCTAAATTTAACAACCGGTTCTAGCGAACCGGTGCGAACCGGCTCCAGCTCACCACTGGTTCTATCTAGTCTAACACACTGAGGTATTTATACCACCACACTCCTCACAGTCATCCATAAGTTCTAATCCTGGCTCTGACTTCAACATGCAGGGAGACTTTGGACTAGTCTCTGTAGGCTTCTGTTTCCCCATCTTTTTGACAAGAGAACAAGTTTGGCTGACAAAGGTAATAGTGTTAATATAATATACTTAGACTTCTGTACCCCATTTGACTTGGTGCCACACAACATTTTCATTAAAGAGCTAGAACAATACAAAATGAACACGGCGCACAGTAAATGGATTAAAAACTTGCTAACTGCTGGGTCTCAAAATGTAAGCGTGAGCACAGAATCATTTTCAACAGGGTGTGTTTCCACTCGTGTCCCACAGGAATCAGTCCTGGCCTTTCTTTTATAATGGTCTTTTTAAGGCCTGCCACTCTTGAGACATGGTATCCTGAACCAGGACCATTCTGGTTTGTGGCGTATGGAAAAGCTATTTTTAATCCCCTTCCCCACTAGGATCCTCTCTTCCTTTTGACCCAGCTGCCCCAGCTGCTCAATTCTGCTGGAAGTCTGTAGCAATTCTTCTTTGAGTGTCCTCCGTGTGGTATCCAGGTCTTGAACCCTGGCCTAGGAGTCCCCAGACAGCTGCCAATGTCTACTGAAACCTGGTAGGCTGTAAGCTACTGGGACTGTGGCCCCAGCCAAAGCACCACCCACAGGAGCTCTGAGTGGAGGATTGTCTGGCTCCCCCAATTGGTCCAACTTTGCTATTTAAGTCAGAAGGAGGCACAGGAAGTTTGAGCAACAGGGTGATCTCCTATGTTGCCTGTGTTGGACCTGCACCCAGCCCTGTTCCTGATTCCTGCTCTGCTCCTGGCTCATGCCTTCACTCCTGTTCCCATCCATGCTTGATCCTTGCATCTCCTCCTGCCCCTACATCTCACCTCCAAGCCTCAGCTACCAGTCCTGGCTCTGACCCTGGCCTCTGACTTCTGACCCTGGCTCCTGTTTGACCCTTGGCTCTGGCATTTGGCATCTGATCTCGGCTCTGTCCCTCGGCTTAGTTTCTTGGTTCTGACTCTGACTTGACCCCCTGGCTCTGGTTACTGGCAGTTGACTCTGGTGCTGACCCTTGGCTTCATTCCCCAACCTGAACGCCTGCTCCTCCCACTAGACCTGACTCCTGCTCTGACTACTAGACCAGGGCGCCTACATCTTGGTCCATAACTCTGCGTATTGCTGCTCTTGGGATATGTCAACTGGGTGCAGCCAGGATGGTGGAACCTTTTAGTAGCAGGGCCTGTTTTGGGCACTTTGCCCTTCCTTCAGTGTTGGAGCCTGTTCTGAGAGTGCAGCTATAAAAGGGGGAGTGACACCTGTTGCAGCCTCAGTTCCTTCAAACCACTGTCGCGTTAGGACACGAATTACAGCAGATCCTTCTAGATCCAGAGTTGAGTGACTTTAGACTACGTCTGACAATGAGATGGCTGAAGACAGCTGCTTTTCCGATTTCTCTTATCACCCCTTGCACTGCACACCTTGGAGATGCTTTTGGGATGCATATGCTCTCCTGTTCCCTTTTTCTTGTATTGCCCTTGGGACCGTTCTAAAGCGTAAATGCAGAACCAGATCTCTCTTGCTTGTCATTTACTCATTCATTTGCATTGCCATTAATTAGTGAGATGTAAGGAAGCTGGGGAGCGTAGCGGGCTCCTAACTTTATTGTGCCGTGCAGGCAGTCAGCTCCTCATACTGTGGAGTGAGGGCTCAGACTTTCCACACTACATATGAGAGTGTGGGTCAGTGAACAGAGCTGTGCTACTCGGCCCGGGGGTGGGAGGGGGGACGGGACACAGAGCGAAACGAGGGCAATGTAAATAACAGAGCAAAGATGACTACAAACTGGAGGAGTGAGAAGGACTCTGAATATGTACTGGGGACGGCTAACATGTATGGGAGCAGACCGTGCTGTTAAGGCACATGCCCACATTGGAAGAACTGTGAAGCTCCATCCCACACACACACACCAGGGGAGATTCGAGAGGCCATGGGTCAGATTCATACACTAGCAGAAGGGGAGTTTGGAGGGGTAGGGGGGCTTGTACCTCCTCTATTCATGGGTTGGCAGTCGGACAGTTTTACACCTGTGGTTCTTACACCTGGCTGTGGCTTCTTTGTGGCTGTTTAGCTGGTCAAAGGCCTATAGGGCAACAAGGAATCAGTTCTGTTCTGCCTCAGGAAGACATAATGTCTCCTTGAGCTCCCTGGAATGGAAGGACAGTATTCCCATTGACATTTATGGTACAGTAGTAGGATATAGTATACAATGCCCCCTCATGCTGGCCGTCACAACTAGGGGACCTTGTCCTGCGTTCTCCTCATCTCTCTCTGGGGTGACTATCACAGAACAGTTTGCTTGCAGAGTACAGGTGTAACCCACACACCTCCTGCCCTGGGTGTGGTGTTCTGTCCCATCTAGTGGCACCGAGACCACTTAGAGAGAGATGAATGAGTCTGCTCTACAGCCTTAGCTAAGGGCTACATGGCTTGTAGCTCATGCGGTAGAGGCTCATGCACTAAGCTCGAGGCCCCAGGTTCAATCCTGCCCGCCGATGACCTGTCTGTATTGTTAGTCAGTGAGTGGAGGGGGACTGTGTATGTGTATCCCCAGGTCCTTTTCTGCAGAACTGCTACCTAGCCAGTCGGTCCCCAGCCTGTAGTGGTGCATGGGATTCTTCTGTCCTAAGTGCAGGACTCTGCACTTGTCCTTCTTGAACCTCATCAGATTTCTTTGGGCCCAATCCTCCAATTTGCAACTCTAAGGGGATGGCCAACGGTTCACCCTGAGATATACATATCTGGTTAGATTGGGGAGGTTGAATGTGAGCATTGTGAAGGAGAGAACAGCAGCAGAATGAGAAGCAAACAGCAATTTGTAAATTAAGATTTATTTCATGTGATTTTACAGACAGATTCTTTACGTTTGAGACAAGCAATGTAGTTAGCACGGACCCATTTTAAATCCACGAAAGAAAACACCTGACATATTAACAAATGGAATCTTAGCGTACAGTTCTCTAAATTTGAATCCAAGCATGTATAAAGCCATTGCGTAGCTGCAGGGAAGCAGAAAATCAATAGTCTGATAGAAAATGGTAAATTATGTGCTACATAATCAGGAATCTGGTTTATTATTTTTCTTACCACCGGACAAGCAAATCAGGTTGGGGGGGGGGGGGGGGGAATAGGATGGTAGTGACGGCCATGCTGGCGCCTGGATGCGTGGAACAATCTGGGGAGCAGGCACTGTAATCCACTTAACTACCCCTCAAGAGGAAAGTTTGAGCGCAAGAGGTAGCTGCGGGCAGGTTCTCAGCAGGGAACCGGAAAGCAAAGTGGTGCTATTAGCAAAAATGCTGAATTCTCTGTCCTGTTGGAAAAATGCCACGTTCCATGCCCTCGGAGTGGCATAATCCGCAGGGCATTGGTAAGAGATGAACTGGGCAGTTCACACCTCTTAGAACTGTTGTTTTAGGCTGTCCGCAGACTCAAGCAGGCATCACTGAATCTGTTTACACTCCACAAGGGTGAAGGCTGGAAACATTTTTTTTTTTTTTTGAAAAATGGGTAAAGGAAGGCAAAAATGAGTGAGTTCGTGACCTCCATGAAACCTGTTCGTCAACTCCTTTTCTCACCCTCCTCACGGGGTTGTGACCCACAGACTGAAAACCCTGGAAATAATACATTGCATTGTAAAAACTAATCTAGACCCAGGACACAAACTTTGTTCCTAGCTGAGCATTGTGGAGGTTCAGCATTAGAATTTACAATTATGTTATTTAGTTTGAGTTAGCTGGCAGCCAATTCAAACGCAACCAAAAATTCTAGCCAGACAATGCGCTCATAGTTCATTCCTATAAGGACAAGCACAAAATAGCTTAAAACCAAAAAAAGGCAATAAAGTCACTGCGCCAAATTCATTCCTGGAGTAAAACTCCATTCAGGCTGGGGCATAGAAAACTGGATCGTGAACTGACTGCCAAGGGGGTTCTATCTTCCACTCTCAAGTTCTATCAGCAAGTCTGATAGTTTGAGCCTATTCCATGGATGGCTTTGAAAATTATCTAAGAAACCACCTTTTTGTCCACTGGAATGATCTCCTCTGGGCAGCTGCAGTCAACCGGTATTATCAAACTAAGACCAAGACTTTCAATATGACCTGGAATTCTTTGTGGAGCATAATTGCTGAGAAGACTCTGCTGTTGCATACAGATGCTCAGACACTCCAGGGATCAGGAGGGCCATACGGCCACCTAGATAGTTCTAGACCAGTAGCAGGTATTGCAAAAGCAGACATGGTCACCCTAGGTACAGTGAGTTGCAGTGATCCAGATAGGAGGTCACAAAGGAAGGGGTACAGTTTCCCAGCCCAAGCAGATGGAAGAAGTTTACTGAAAGCTGTAGCTACTTGAGGATCAGAAGGATATCTAGCCTAACACATCTGTCAAACTGGGTGCAAACTCCCAATCAAGGCTGACTCTAGTTAAACCCAATGACTTCCCTTGAGTTTAATCATAGCCTGATGTAAATCTTGGGCACCTACTCACTTCTCTTAAAAAGAAAACCTTCCACATATTTTGCTAAAGAACTCAGTTATCAAATTCCAAAAGATGTAGACAATCATTGGCTACAGAACATAGATGTTGAATTAAAGAGGGAACCAAAATTCTGAATGAGAATGAAGAAAAGAGAACCCAGCAAAGACCCAAGACCCAGGGCTGTACTTTTGTAGTTAGTAGTGAATGTAAGTAGATCTGAATAAGCTTTCCCTTGCTCAAATATAAGTGCAAATTAATCAGTTTTGCTAGTTACTTATTCCTAAATACCAATCAAGTTGAACTATGAGCCAAATGTAAGAAGTGGTTTGGTTTGCATTGAGTAACCAAACCAAACCTTTGTTTGCTCTCATAGGTTACCCTAAAAATGTTTTATATAGCATCTGAAGTTCATCATTCCAAGGTTCAAACCTAGGGTGAACTCCTGGTTCCATTGACTTAAGAGGGCTAGTATTTCACCCCTAATATTCTGAGGCTACCAAAGTTTCCTTGGACCATGCAGTCCTGTCCTATGCCAAATAACTTGCAAGGTTACATCACTCCAAACTTTCCTCCTCCAGGGTTCTCTGGTTGCCTTGTAGCATTCCATCTGGGCTGGCTACCTTGGGAGCTAACTGCTCTTGGAACCAACTGCAGCATCAAATAAAATATTTGAATTTGAAGTCTGCTCCAGTTGCTCAATAATATTAATGCTTAGTAATGTTCTAATGTCTCCCTCCGGAGAATTTCAAACAGGTCCCCAAACTTTAAAGACGCCGCAACACCCCTGTGGAAGACAGGGAAGTATTATCTCCAACACCAGGCAGAGACTAAGTTCTACATTTTCAAAACTGGCCTCTCATTTTGTATGCCCAGCTTTCGAAACTCAAGACCTGATTTTCAAAAGTGCTTAGCACCTAAAACTTCAGTAGGAGCTGTGGGTGATCAACGTATCTGAAAACATGTCCATAGGGCCAAACATTTCTAAGCTAGGTATCTAACATTTGGTTCCTAAATATAAAAAAATCCTCTTTTTCAGAGCTGCTGAGTACCTGTAGCTCCTACTAACGTCCAGTGGAGTTTGGAGTGCTAACCACCTTTCAAAAAATCCAGTTATATTTCTTTAACAGCCTAAATGTAGGAGCCTAGGTATCTAACCCTGGGCACCCAAAAAACAACAACCCAGGAATCCAAAATCAGAAGCCACTTCTGAAAATCGGGCTCAAATGACTTACTTGCACAGTGTAGCCTTGGGGAAGTGGTAAGGTGAGGACTAGAACCCAGGAACTCTTCCAGTCCCCGCACTCACTCCAAAAACGTGTTGCCTACCACTTGTCAGTTCATTCTCATGCAACCAAAGTCTAAACAAGATGCTGCACTAGTCCATGGAAACTCTCAACAGTAGTTAGGACCCACAGTGGTTCAAATTGCCCATTGCATGCCATGTCACTTTATTTCTGTTTTATCGTGCATCGGGTAGTTTATTAGCTAGGGACTGTGAAATGTCTCCCTTTTGCAAATTTGGAACCATGGGCCAAAAACCATATCATGAATATAGCTCATCCTCTCTGCACTACTAGAACCATAGGCAAACCCTAGATGGGTTATTAAACAACTCCTGAGTAACCACTGGGGATCTTTTCAAACAGCAAATGGAGGTGTAAATTAGCTCTGGATGCCACACAGAGTAAAAGGTTGTCAGAAATCTTGTCCTGGGTAGAGACTGGATTGACACCAAACACAATGCTCCTTTCTAGGCCAGAAAAGCGACGGATGCTGTCAAGAATAATACGCTTTCCCTGTATTTCATCTGCTTCTTGGAAAACTGAATTCAGCCTATATTTCCTCATTCCTATTTTTAATTCGTGTTCATATTTTTTTTTATCATCGTTTGTGCTGAACAGAATAGCAATCTCTTTCTCTGAGTAGCCCTTTTGTAAATAGCTAAAACATTGTCTAGCCACATAATTTGCTATTTCGTTCATATTTAAGTTTCTTTTTATGGTATAATCACCTGATACATCGTGACCACATGTGGCTTCACTTAACAAGTTTTTTAAACGCTCATAAGGAACATCTCCTAATTTTTTATCTTGTACAATCTTTTCCATTTGTTTTTTTATGATGTCGTATATGTCCGTGGAATTACGGACCACTTGGGTTAGTGATTCCACTGGGTCATGCTGACGTGCAGGTGGAAGACCAGATACGAAAGGGTGACTTGTCTGTAAATAGTCCAAGAAGATCCAGAAAACACCAGGCTCATTATGACTTTGGGTGATACATTCAGCCTTCCTATACCAACAGCCATCCTCTTCCCGGAAATTCTGTGCTTCATCAACTACTATGTGTTTCACCTTTTCAAAGTTGTTCTTCATGAAAGTTACTCTTGTCACAGACTGGCAAATTCCTTTTTCGCTACAATATAAATAAAATATTTGATAAATATTATTGTGTGTGCTGCAAAGTTCTTCTCTAAATCTAATCAATGTAGATTGAATGCTGTGTCAGTTAAATCATTTTTCTGTAGATTTGCAGCATACCAACAAAACCAATTCCCATCCCATTAAAACTTTGACTTTATTAAGAAAAAAACTGACTCTTACCAAGACTAATGCATGCATCCCAGATACCCACATACCTTGAACACAAAATTATACCAGAAATCTGCACTCCTCGAGTTTATTATGTATAGGGCCCTACCAAATTCACAGTCCATTTTGGTCACTTTCACGGTTATAGGATTTTAAAAATTGCAAATGTCATGATTTCAGCTATTTAAAGCTGAAATGTCACGGTGTCGTAATTGTAGGGGTCCTGACCCCAAAAAAGGAGTTGGGGGGGGAGGGGTAGCAAGGTTATTGTAGGGGGGTTGCCGTCCTGCTACCCTTACATCTGCTCTGCTGCTGGTGGCACCGCTTCCGAGCTGGGTGGCTGGAGAGCGGCGGCTGCTGGCCCGGAGCCCAGCTCTGAAGGCAGTTCCCTGCCAGCAGCAGCGCAGAAGTCAGGGTGACCTGGGATGGTATCGCCACCCTCACTTCTACGCTGCTGCCTGCAGAGCAGGGCCCTCAGTCAGCAGCCGCCGCTGTCCAGCCGCCCAGCTCTGCAGGCAGCAGCGCAGAAGTAAGTGTGTCGTGGTCTGGCATTGCCACCCTGACTTCTGCCCTGCTGCCGGGAGGGCGCTGCCTTCAGAGATGGATGCCTGGCCAACAGCCGCCGCTCTCTGGCCCCTGAGCTCTGAAGACAGCGCAGAAGGGTGGCATTACTGTGATCCCCCCTAAAATAACCTTGTGACCCCCCCCTGCAACTCCCTTTTGGATCAGGACCTCCAATTTGAGAAACACCGGTGTCCCCTGTGAAATTGGTATAGTATAGGGTAAAAGCACACAGAAGACCAGATTTCAAGGGGGGAGACCAGATTTCACGATCCGTGACACATTTTTCATGACCGTGAATTTGGTAGGGCCCTAGTTATGTAGCAAATTTGATCTGAAAATTATTTGAGATCATTTTTTGTGTAGGGATGCATACAGACAGGAATAAGAAAAGGAGTACTTGTGGCACCTTAGAGACTAACCAATTTATTTGAGCATAAGCTTTCATGAGCTACAGCTCACTTCATCGGATGCTGAAGCTCACGAAAGCTTATGCTCAAATAAATTGGTTAGTCTCTAAGGTGCCACAAGTCCTCCTTTTCTTTTTGCGAATACAGACTAACACGGCTGTTACTCTGAAACCTACAGACAGGAATATTTTCATTCTAATTGCATTGCCTTGCTATAGACAAGTTGTATGGTAGCTTCATTGCAAGGAGCTTAATGTACCTTCTATTAAAAGGTGCAGAGTGACTGTGTACTTGTAATATATTAAAATATAATATTATCCATTTAAAGCATTTTTTCCACACATAGGCTTGTAAACTGGTTTTTTTTAAAGCAGCCCTTCCTCAGCAGGCCATTAAAATCTATTTTTTTACATCATCGCTCTGAACTGCTGCTTGTGGCCTTTCAAAATTCGCATTCCTGGGGAAATGGGGGAGAAAAGAAGGGAGGAGGAACTATTTTAAAAGTTTTCACTTTGATACTTATTTTCGGGATCTTAGATCCATTTCCAAGGAAACAGAAATGAGCACTAGCCACAAGTAGCTGAATCATTTTCAGCTGCTGACCTCCACTTCAAATGTCTGCTTTCCATGGAAACAAGACTCTCAGTTGAGTGTCCCAGCTTCAGGATGCCTGCTCAGATTTATGACAGATTAATTTTAGAAACTTGCTACACGCTTTTCACTGGTGCTTTTGAATATTTAGGACACGCCATAAATCCAGGTTTCAGTTTTTCTCACACGTGCTACAAATTCTGGTTGGTGATGAATCTAAGACTCTGATCATCACAGGAAAGGCAAACTGAACTGCTATGTTATGAAGCCATGTGGCAATGAGATTTAATACTCTATGACTACAATTCCTCAAAGCATTTAAGCATGTGCTTAACTTTAATCCCATGCTTTAGTTCCGTTGATTAGCATGAAAATTAAAAGAATGGAGTCTTTAGAATGTTTATAAATAAATCCATTTCAATCACAATATTTCTAGAATTCTTGTGGGTTTGAAACTAAGGCTCTCCTCTTTGAAGAAAGGAGGGGGAGGAGTGATAAGGGACTCCCACCTTAGCTTTTGTGGCTTTGACATGTGGGTGCTACACATCACTTCTTTGATAAACCCTAGAAAAAGAATAGCTTCATATCCTTTAACAAGCAGGAGGTGCCTGCTACTTGAGAAGACAAGCCTGTTGGTTGGCTGCCTTTTAACCAAACAGTTCCCAGTATTACAATCTACAGTAGCTTCATAGAATCATAGAATCATAGAATATCAGGGTTGGAAGGGACCTCAGGAGGTCATCTAGTCCAACCCCCTGCTCAAAGCAGGACCAATCCCCGGCTAAATCATCCCAGCCAGGGCTTTGTCAAGCTTGACCTTAAAAACTTCTAAGGAAGGAGATTCTACCACCTCGCTAGGTAACGCATTCCAGTGATTCACCTACACTTCTTTTTCCCTATAATCACCTCCTGGCAGGGGGTGGCCACATTCAGCTTTCTTTAGCGCCCTTTTTAAGTTCTTATCAGGAATATCTATTTGTGGATTTTCTACAAGATTTTTCATCCCTTGGAGCATAATATTGTATATGTGAGTGGCATTCTGGATCCTTTTGGTTAGCCATTCCTGAGAATATTGTTTTCTTGGCTGTGGAAGACCACAGAGAAAAGTGTGGCTTGTTTGTAAACAGTCCAGGAAAATCCAGAGAATACCACGTTCATGACCATCGTTTCCTTCTGTGAGCTGCTTAGCCTTTGTGTACCAATCTTCACTACCCTTTCACTAGAAATTCTGGGCCTCATCAACTACTATGTGCCTCACTAATTGATTATAATACTCCTGAAAGAAGGTGAATCGGGTCAGTCTGGCAAATGTTTCTCTTTCTACTCAATAAAAGAGAACATTCAACATCATTTTGATGGATTTCTGCCTGTGCACTGATCCAGGCCCCGATTCAGTTAAGGTACTTAAGAACATGGCTAACTTTAAGCATGGGCAACGAGGAGTCCTTGTGGCACCTTAGAGACTAACAAATTTATATGGGCATAAGCTTTCATGGGCTAAAACCCACGTTATCAGATGCATGGAGTGGAAAATACAGCAAGCAGTATATATATATATATTACAGCACATGAAAAGATGGGAGTTGCCTTACCAAGTGGGGGGTCAGTGCTAACGAGGCCAATTCAATTAAGGGGGAAGTGGGTTACTGCCCCTTAATACTTCCACCCTAATTGAATTGGCCTCGTTAGCACTGACCCTCCCCTCCCCCCTCCACACACACTTGGTAAGGCAACTCCCATCTTTTCATGTGCGGTATATTTACACCTGCCTACTGTATTTTCCACTCCATGCATCTGATGAAGTGGCCCACGAAAGCTTATGCCCAAATCAATTTGTTAGTCATTAAGGTGTCACAAGGACTCCCCGTTGTTTTTGCTGATACAGACTAACATGGCTACTCCTCTGAAACCTTTAAGCATGGGAGTAGTGACACCACCATTCTAGCACCAATGTAACCATTTGTATAGACCGGGCTCTCGGACATTTCAGCACTCTGTCAACACGACAACTTGCTGAAACACCTGAGCCCCGTCCACAGTAGTGTCTCTACCATTGTAAATGCTGGTGCAGCTGTATCAGTGTTGGAATTCAGGTATGTAATTTTGTACCATACATGCACCAAAGAGGGCTGCAACTTCTCCTAAACTGGAGAGCCTTGAAGCCTAAAAAATAAAAGCAAGCAGGAGATGCACTGATTTTAGCACATCCCAGCTACAGCCTCTGTCAGCCAGGCTTCTGTACAACATCCAGCAGAAATCAAAGCTGATCTCCCCCAATTTAGTCCCCAGTGGAGCCTATCAATAGAAACCCTGCCTGCCCTCCCCTAGAGGTGAATCCCCTCTGGTCTGCAAGAGGTTAGCTGAGCCACAGAGGTGCAGTTTCCACATCCCTGTGCCAATGGAGAGATCAATCTGGCCCAAAATGTTTTACAGTGGATTGTTAAAAAGGGCCTTCCAAATACCATAACAACAGTCCAGATTGTCCTGTAACATGAAAACTACCCTCTCTCGTGGCATCATCTCAGGCTGTGCCTATGCTGGCAACCTTAAAACCTATAATACTCCACTGGAGATGGGTATGATGGAAACTGTTCGTTTAGATAGGGTTCGGGCATTTCTCCCACATGTCCTCTAACCCTGCTTTGTGGGGAGCTGTGCTGCTGGTGAATTGAATGTCATTGTTCACACTGTAGACAGAGCCTGAAACATCTGCTACTTTGCAAAAAATTTGTTTTGGCTACTGACATATGTTTTCTCCCCAATTTCAATGCCCCTTTGACATTTACTATTAATTAACTACGGGCACAGTTTTGAGTTGCATACAAAATGCTCACCTCACAAACGTTTTCAGTGGCGCGTTCTCACAAATGTAGAGAATCTCATCAGACTGGCAGCGAAACATGTGCCTTATCTTCTCGATGATCTTCAGGGCCACTATTGTTTTCCCTGTTCCTGGCAGGCCATAGATAAACAGCTTCCTGCATTTGTGGAGATCTTTTGAAAGTATCTCATATTGTTTAATAGTGAGGAGATTGAAAAACTCACACCCAAGTCTGTCACTTAAAAAAGACCTAAAACCCAGTAAGATTATCACAAGTGAGTCCAGTAATTTTCTTATGTCCTTCTGGGATACAGTGTAGCTAGCAGGGTACTTAACTTGCAAACCTAATTCTGTATTTCCTTCTTCATTGGTTCCAAGCTGTAGGAGATGGGGAATCACACACACTCTCTGAGTGTATCCCCCAACATTTACCAGTTTCTGTTTCAATGCACGAGCAGTTTGTCTTGCATTTTCAAACATATTCGCAGAACAGTCCTTCTGAGTCACAGTGTACAGCATTGGGTGTTTGCCTGCAGCTATTAAGAGAGCATCACAGACAACTTGCTGATTCTCTTGCAATCCGATATCTACAGCCCAGCTCCTTGAAAATATCAGTAGTCCCTGAGATGCCTGCAGCTCTTCCATTTGCTCGTTCATTAAATTCTCCAGCCCTGGATACTCTGAAAACAGCCCTTCGGTGAGGTTTTCTGGTATGTATATTATTTTATTAGAATACACTAGAAAGTGAGAGAATTAGAAAAACATTAACAAATTTTATGACTATTTTCTTTTTTTTTCTTTTGGTTAGACACTGCAATACCATTTTAAATTATTCCAACTGAATTTCTTGATGTTCAAAATGTTGGATTGGCAACCCTGCAGATCGAAGTCTTATTTTGCACAGAAACCAGTACAGCAGGAGCAATGGCAAACAAGCTTTCCTGACACACTACCCCAACCCCCTGCCCATAATCATCCACCAATGAGTCTCAACCATACTCTGTAGGGACCCCCTGTAGGGATGGAAGGGGATTTCAGACTCCATTGGCCACTAATACCTTGGTGCCTCTGCTCAGGGCATGTCTACCCTACAAACTTAAGTCAACCTATGTTAAGTCGACTTACAGTAATTACTGTGGTGGTTCATGTCCACACAACCCTCCTTCTGTCGGTGGTGCATGTCCTCACCAGGAGTGCTTCCACCAACTGAAGAGGGGCAAGGAGGGGAGGGGGAGAGGGCTGAGAGCCCGGGCTCTCAGCTCTGTGGCTGCCCCCAGTCTCCCCCACTGGGAGCCTGACTGACCCCCTAGGCTACGTGTCTGGAATGGTGGCTCTCTCTTTCTGCAGTCTCCTGCCTCATTCACCTCACATCTTCCAGCACTGAAGGTAATGGTGCTATGGCTAATTCACATGGGGAGTCGAGGAAGCCACATCTCCATACAACAGAATAATACACTACATAACATCCACTTGGCCAGATCCTGGGTTGGTGTAAAATTGGCATAGCACTATTACTTTCAGTGCTGGAAGACGTGAGGTGAATGAGGTGGGAGACTGCAGAAAGAGAAAATATGGTCTGATAGTTGAGGACGTTCACAGCTGCCCTGAGGACTTGGGTTCTATCCCTGGTTCTGCCACAGACTTTTAATATGATGTTGGCCAAGTCACTTAATTTGGAATTTTCCACAGGTGGCCACTAAACTATGTATTCCTCATTTTCTGGGTGCCCAGTTTGGGATGCTTCGGGCCTGACTTTTAGAAGGGCCTAGCACTCACAACTGCAACTGAATTCAATGGGAGCTGTACATGCTTGGGTCACCAGATCCCAACTCAGTGCTTGTCCTTCCAGGTTCCATGAGCGTTAATCCTGCCTCTGCCACTGACTCATTGCATGTCCTTGGGTGAGCTCCTTTGTCACTGGATTACTGGAGCATCCTGACTTTCTTACAAGCATTCAGACAAATTATTATTCCTCTGTAAATTTACAAGAGAAGTTCATTATTTATGATTATTTACTGTCCTGTTTAAAACAGTTCCCTCCGCCAGTCAGGGAGTGGAAAGAACAAGGTGTGACATAGGTGTTAAACCACACATCGTGAATAACAAAAAATGAATAATGAATAGTCAATATGAACTGATTATAAACAACCCATAGTCTGAAATGTATTCATTGTAGCTATTCGGCAAATAGTTACAAACATTGAATGTATACATAGAAATGAGGAAAGGTTCAGGAACAATTCCTTAGCCTAAAAAGCGCCTAAAGGCAATCAACATTATTATTCCAGTTAGTTCAACCAACTGTAAAAGGGACATCAAAAAGTGAATAAAGTGCAAATACTAAGAAAATCCAGCCGACCAAAACTAAATTCACATATTAAGAGTCTGACACCCCAGAGGCTGCAGGGAATTCACACTTGGATTTTAGGGACAGCCACTTAACACAGTAATTCTGTAGAACCCACAGCTTTCTTGTGTGAAAAATTAAAAATGTTGGAATAAATATTAAACTTCACATAAGATCGCACATTTACATAAATTAGCCATGGTGAGGGAGGGTTGGCAGAGAGATAAGGAGGATTCAGATAGGTCAGTGTTAAGACATACCAGTTGGTCTGCTTTAACCAATTTATATGTCCCCTTTGCCTTCAGTCCTCAATTCTTCAAAAAGCATGTGTTCTACATACATAGAATATATTTTTTTCTATTAAGTTCTAATCATTTCTAAACTGGATGCCTTCAATCATTATGTCCATCAATGTCCAGATGCCAGAAATAGACTAATACAAAACATTACAGACCAAAGAGACATACCTGGAAATAGAGCTTTTCGCAGATCAGACAGACACGTGAGGCCTTTGTTGGAAAACACGGGTTTGGAGAGTGGGGATGCACCTGACAGACTGAGCACAGTCTTCAGAACTTCAGCTAAATTTGAAATCTCTTTAAAAGTAAATTAAAGTTAATATTAACATACTTATTTCACCCCATCACCCCCATATGAATTTTTACCCAGCATGCTCTAAGCTGCTCTCATAATTGGTGTGGGTTTTGCATGGTAAATGCACTGGTCTAGCATGAGCACCATGTGGAAACTCTCAAAATGAGATGAGATTATTTATTTTAACTAAAGGTTCTTATTTGGGTACCCAGCTGCAGCAGCAGTGTCCTTTCACTTTAGCGAGGCTGAAACGGTAGAATAATTCTGCTACATACTGAAGATATGGAGACACTGAGGTGGGGTTTTGGTTGCCAGACCTTGGGTTCCCTTATGCCTATGGTAGCAAGTGGGGGAAGAAAGGCAGGAAAGGTCATTAGCAAGTGTAAATCAGGACCAAGATATTTGATTTCATTCCCATTGGTTTCTTGTTTAATTATCTCTCAGGAGTGTGAACTTGGAAGAAAAGGACTTTGATCTTTGGTTCATGCTGATGAAGAGAAGGCTGGTCATTAATAAGGTTTCCACCATTTGTGATGTGATTAAGGATGAGGGACCTCCCCAGTTTTGCACATGTAGCTGAAATTGAGTTGGATGATACTGCAGGGACCTATATTGGCACAGAATATGTTTATCAAGTATTCAATAAATGCATGCTCTTTGCAACCGACCAAAAGGGTAGGAGAGCACTCTCATGTCGTTCTACAGGATTCCAGTTTGTTCTCCCTCTTGTTCAGTGTGTGCATAAAGCCACTAGGAGGGTTAATGAGGAAGTGTGGGCTGTGGTATCTTCTCTGTGGCTTTCTCATACTGTCTCTTCCAATTCAGATGATGTGGTTGTTGTGTTTCCCTGCATCTGGTTGAGATTAGGACATGGACGAGAGACTCAATCCAGATAAAACAGTTATCAGATGTTGATAAGGTGGGAACGGAACTGGAATTTTGGACAAAGACTCTGTCTGCCCTTGTGAGGCCATGTTTTTGCTGTTGCCTTTGTATAAATGTGTTTTTACATCGAGAGAGCTATCTATCTTAGTACAAAAAGACACCTATTTTAGTAATGAAGACATAGCTTAACAGATGTTGTTTGTCCACCGTTTGTTATTCTTGTTTGCTGCTTGGGACTCTGGTTAGATTCCCAGTTACAGTTGGAGGGTTAGCCAAAATGGCTTCCTCTGCTTGCATCTAACCAGGATGTTGACATCTTATCTTTTGGTTGTGACTCTCACTACCATGACTTGTGATTTTATCACCTCAAGAGTGGGTGTCTACAGTGTCTACCAGCAGGACAGTGGGGTGGGAGGAGGTATTGTTTCATGGTCTCTGTGTGTATATAATGTCTTCTGCAGTTTCCACTGTATGCATCCGATGAAGTGAGCTGTAGCTCACGAAAGCTCATGCTCAAATAAATTGGTTAGTCTCTAAGGTGCCACAAGTACTCCTTTTCTTTTTGCGAAGACAGACTATCACGGCTGTTACTCTGAAACCTGTCTACAGTGTGCTGCACCTTAAATCAAGCCAGAAACTGAAGACAGTGGAGAAAGGAGAAGTCGCCTTCTTCCATGGCGTGTTTTGCTGTGAGCATATCACACAGCCTTGTCTTGCTGTCTCTGGGTTTCCAAGTGGAGTTTAAGGTGTAGCTTTTGACCTATAAAGTCCTAAATGGCCTGGGACCTCCCAAACGGAGAGACACTTCTCACCTCAGGCCATACCACCACAGCTCAGACTGGCGTCGGCATCTGAGTTCTCATGACAGAAGACAGAGGGGGTGACTGGCAAGGTATTCCCTTTGAGGGCTTCTCAGTTTTGGAACTCGCTCCCCAACCTTGGTTCAAAATAGTCCATATTTGTTGATCCTTCAGGGCATGCTGAAAGGCTCATCTGTTCATTGGGGGTGTGGGGCTTCGGAGGGCAATCTTGCTAGAGAGGAACTATTTAATAAGGGTGGAGTATTTTTCCCATGCTGTAAGAATTTTAGTTATTTACTGCCCTACACCATGTGATTGGCATGAGGGTTTGATTTTATATTTGATTCCCTGTGTGTTATGTTAAGGATGTCTAGAGCTTGGGAAAGACACCTTCTATTTGTTCCTAGAAATTATAAATGGTAATAATAATAAAAGACTTCTGTAGCCTCCACTCGAAGATTCTCCCGTAGCTCAATAATGTTCAGTAAGAAAATGGAAGTGGCCCCAGGATGGTGAAGGACAAATTTGGTCTAAATTAACTGAGTCACATCCCTCAATTGGGACAAACTGATGGAATCTCATTCACCATGGCCTATGGATGAGTATACTTTAGGAACTGTTTAATGGGGGGTTGTAACTGAATACTGCACTTCTGTCCACCCTCTTCCAGCAGTGGTCCACCAACCCCCTCCAGGGCTCCATTCCCCAGTCCCTCTCCCTGAGGAAACACTGCTGACCCAGGCCCCTGTGGAGCTTCCTCTTCAGATCTCTCTCCCTTACCATGAACAGTAAGCGCTTTATATCCTGCTTCCCTCTACCCAGCAGACCCTGCTGTAGCCTGAAGTCACTTGATGTGAAAGGGAACCCAGGCACAAGTGGCAGCCATAAGGGCTGGAACTAGTGGTGCCGAGGGTGCTGCCGCCCCCCCTGGCTTGAAGTGGTTTCCATCATACACAGGGTTTACAGTTTGGTTCAACGGCTCTCAGCACCCCCACTACACAAATCGTTCCAGCCCCCCTGGTGGCAGCTGGGTCCTGAGCTCCTCCGAACAGCCCACCTCACCCTGTAACACACAGGGCACTACACAGTGTGATTAAGGGTGGCAGAATCAGGCCTAAATACTTCTCTTTCCCTGTTGTCTGTCTGAAACACCTGTGCAAACAGGAGAAACCAAATGGCTGTATACACAGTGTTGTCTCGTGAGCACAGTAAACAAATGGATTTTTCAAATGTGGTAACCTTGGTTATAACAGCAAACAGGTAAAATAAATTCTGACAGACGTGTGAATTTTAACTTGGCAGTGTCACTTTAAGAAAAGCGTTCTGGGGTTGGAGCACCATTGATTTTAAATTTTAGGATCACTTCCTTGTCAAGCCAACAGTGGTGCTACCATGCTACAAATGCTGATGTTAATTTTAATATGGAAAAAATAAACTATGATACTTTTATTTTTAAAATAATTGGACCTGGGTCAGGTGTTGTCATCAGGTCCATCCAGTCCTTGGCCATCAATCTTTCAAATCGGTCATCCTTCACGATCCATGAGTCGGGATTATGCAAAAACACAGCGCAACAAAATGGCTTAATTTTCACAGCACATACATAGCCATACAAGTTTCCCTGATTATCCCGTACATTCAGGATTTTAGGGACAACAATCAGTTCTGGCCGAGAACTGCAGAAATGGAAGACGTGCCGCACCTTCTGCCTGCCACTCTTTACTATCCTGAGTAATTGATTGGCTGTTACATTCTCTTTTCTACAACCAACAACTTTCCTCTCATCATCCACTCCAAAAAATAAATATCCCCCCTGTGTGTTTGCAAAAGCAGAGATGTACTTTGGTAATTTGTCTTCAATGTCTTTCTGGATGATGTTCAGGTTGTCTGCTGAAGCAAACTCTTTATAGTCAACACGTGTCGACTCAGAGAAGTTCAGCTTCTCACCATGGGTGAGGTGCTGTACATTAAAAATATTTTCAATTGAGTCATGTTCTTCCTCAAAACCATTCAGAACGGCTCTCTCAGCTCCTTGCTGTGTCTCATCAGATCTTCTCCTGGAACACTCTTTCTTCCTTTTGAAAAATTGTGCAGCAACACTGGAATTCATGAGTTTAACAGAAGTGCCACATCTCTGGTACAAGCCTGTTTTCTGGCTGCAAATACGAGATGAAGATGAAATATCTGATGAAGATGAAACTTCAATTCTCCATGATTTAACAAAGATTAAAAGTTTGCTGTTTTGCTTAATGCTTTCAAAGTAGTCTGCAAACATCTGAGATGGAATAAGTTCTGTAAAGGAATCTTCTATATCCTTCCCAAGCCCATCTCCTTCATTGTAGCCCTCATTTTCAATCTCTGCCTCTATCAAACCTCCTCCTGAGTTCAACAATGCACACGCTGCTTGGGAGATATTCTCTTTTTGTTTCTTCTTGATGTGTTGTTTGTTCTTTTCCTTCCTGTATGTCTCACCAAAAATTACTTTTCCAACTTTTACAACCACATCAGGATACTTAGTGTTCAGGTCAACACATGGATGCTTCTCCTCCGTGGCCATCCTGTTCCTGAAACAAGGGAAAGGATAATTCTCACTTAAAACAATAAGTGTGGGCAGCAGGAGGACACTACCTGGATGTCCCATGAAAGTACCTTCTTCTGAGGAGGTACATTAGCAGGTAAACCTCTCACTCTGATGGGGTCATTTTGTTTTTAATTCTAATGTTATTAAAATGCAATTATAAATAATGCAGTTCACATATGGCCAAAGTGAAAAAAAAATCTTTGTATAAAATTATTGTAACAAAGAGACCAAATGGAAAGGATGCAAAGCCAAGATGCTGGTTAAGGGTTATAAAATCTATTACCTAGGGAGTTCAATCTACTGAAACGGTGTTGGAATTATTCTGGATGAAACCGTGCAGAGGCATGTCATAGCGGTTACCAGAAGATAAGACCTACTGATGAGTGTTAAGCTGTGTTAAGCAAAAGGTAACTATCCTAATAGTAAGTGGATACATAGGCACTGGCTTCCTCATTTCCCTGGCGTGTTTGATCCCTGCTCTGACCCAAGACCCCACCTCTGCCCAGCCTCTTCCCACCCAGCCTCTTCCTGCCCCCATTCCTCCCTCTCCCCTGAGTGCACCCGGCCCTCGCTGCACCCCCTCCCTTCCCAGCGCCTCCTGCATGCCGCTGAACAGCTGATCCCAGCAGACAGGAGGCACAGGGCGGGGGGGAGGACGGGGAAGAAACTGACAGGCTGGGCTGTCATTGGGTGCTGAGCACCCCTATTTTTTTCCCCATGGGTGCTCCAGCCCCATAGGTACAGAGTCAGTACCTATGAGTGGGTATGCACCACAGTTAGGAGAGGATTACAGCACATTGCCACTAACAGCAACAGACTCTGCATCATCACAAGGACTGCTTTCTGCCTCCAACTAATAAAAGACATATACCCAACAGATTAACCAGCTTTGCAGTACAATACAAAACCTTCATCACAACCTCAGCATGCAATAGATTTACCACATTATTCATGTTAAGTGTGGGGTGTGGTAAGGGTTTATGGTGGAAGCATGAGGTCATAATTAATGGTAGAACCAGGAATAGAACCCAGTACCCTTGAGCCCCACTCTGCTATCTTAACCCCAAGACCTGTGTGATGGAGTGTACAAATTCCACACGGGGTAACAAGGGGCTAAGGGATTATTTTGGGCCCAGACACACCCACCCTGCCACACCTGCAGCAAATGCTCCATGATCTGATGGAGGAATTAAAAGACAGGGAAACAGCTCATTTGAGGGCAGACCTGGAAAAGAGCAGATCTGCAGCCCAGAGCTCCAGCCGTGCACTGTGAAGACTGAAGTCTCTGAAACAACTGCCCCAAAGGGGCCCTCCCTAAGGGAAGGGAGAACCCACCCCGAAACAACCAGAGGCAGAAGTATTCCCCTCTCCCCTGCATGTGGACATTGGAAATCTCCTCTTATTTTCTTGATTTGGACTCCCCTATCAGGGGAAAGGCTTGGTCTGAGCTGACCTAGTGGGGAGCGGGTGAAATAGGAAGTAGCCCAGGGAGGGCAGCCTTAAGCAGCCTCAGTTGCCAGATCACTGGTTGCTCAAAGGGTCCTGGGTAGCAGCCCAGTGGAGTGGGAGGACCTGGGCTCCCATACTAACAACCCCGCTGTCAGCCACAGATTGTGGCCTGGGCCATGCTTCCCAACCAATGCCTGAGTGAGGACCGCTACAACCTGCCTTCCTCTTCTTACTAAACTTAGGCTCTAACCAGCACTGTTTCTGCAAAGGAAACTCATCTCTCACTAATTTATTACCTCTTATTTATTTATATCTTTGAATGTCAGCAAAGTAGTGGACAAAGGAGAACCAGTGGACATAATTTATTTAGACGTTCAAAAGGCCTTTGACAAGTCATTTTAACAAAAAAAAATTACAAAAGAAACTAAATAGTTGTGGAAAAAGAGGCCAAGTATCATGGATAAAAAAATCTGGCTAGGAGACAAAACAAAGTAGAATTAAATGGTCAACTTTCATTTTAGCAACAGCCAACAGTGGAATGCCTCAAGATTCCACACAAGGTCTCGGGCTGTTTAATATATTTATTAATGACCCGGGACAGGGGTTAGCAGCGAGGCTGCAAAATTTACAGATGACAAACAGTTTTTTAAGTTAGTCGGTACCAGACAGGACTGTGAAGTATTTCAGAGGGACCTAGCTAAGCTACACGAATATGTAACAGGATGGTAAATGAAATTCAATGTTGATAAATGCAAAGCAATGCACAGTGGAAGGGAAGATTTAAACTACTCATACACCTTACAAGATTCTGAATTAACTGTATTAATTAAAGAAAGGGACCTGGGCACCAATGAAAACTCCTTCTCAATGTGCAAATATAGTCTAAAAAGCAAAAAGATGTGAGGATGCATAAAGAATGGGGTGGAGAATAATATGGACAATATTATAATGCCTTTATATAAATCAGTGATGTGGCCTCATCTAGAACCCTGTGTACAATTCTAGTCGCTCATCTCAAAAAGGACATTGCACAGTTAGAGAAAGGCAATGAGAATCACTGGGAACACAGGAGAGATTTTTGGTGAAGAGACATTGAAAAGATTGGTTTTATTACCTTAGAAAGGAGACAAATAAGGGGGGACACAATAAAGACATAAAATAATGGTGTCAAGGTGATAGATCACAAGCTCTGTTCTCCTGGTCTCATAACACATAAACAAGGAAGCACGAATTGAATCAAAAGGTGACAAATTCAAAAACTAATAAAAGTAAATACTTTTTCATACAAAGTGTACACTATGGACCTTGTTGTCACAGGACGTCACTGAGGCCAAGAATTTAGTAAGATTCTAAGAGGGAGTGCACATATAAATGGGTAACAAGAACATCCAGGGTTATAATAGTTCATGCTAACAAAAATATTGGCAGGGATATTAACTTCATGTTTCAGAGTTTAGGCAAATCTTGCTGGAGGATTCTCTGCTTCTTGAAGTCTTTAAACCATGATTTGAGGACTTCAATAGCTCAGACATAGGTGAGAGGTTTATTGCAGGAGTGGGTGGGTGAGATTCTGTGGCCTGCGTTGTGCAGGAGGTCAGACTAGATGATCATAATGGTCCCTTCTGACCTAAATATCTATGAATCTCTAATTATTAGAGGTTGAGATGAGACATCATGTGGGGGGGAAGGGGGATTATCTGACATCTGTCTGCTGTGGAGTTCTTACACCTTTCTTTGAAGCATCTGGTGCTGGCCACCCGATACTGGGTCTGATCCAATATGACAATTCCTTTGTTCCTATGTCAGATATTTGAAATTGATTTAAAAATCAGTTTTGCAGTAAGATGAATCCAGAAACATGGCTGAATTTATGCCCAGAAAGATTCCAAAATAGATTATTTGTCAAATTCTTATCAAAATAAAAAGTTTAATATTTTAAAACTTTTAGTAAAAAAACAGATCTCTTCCTTTTAGAAACATCTGACATATTAAGTTGATCTGAAAATTCATGACTTCTATTTTTAAGCAAAGTGTTTCTGAAGTAAAAGGATAAAGAGTTTAGCAATAGTAAAATCTACATTTCTAGCTGGGTTGGAAGGGGCTCAGACAGCAGCTCAGACCAGCTCTGCCCTGTGTCCCGTTTTCCCTGGGGAAACAGGGTCACCCTACTTTCAGTGCTGTGCAGGTGGGAAGGGAGGGGAGCTGCTGCCAGGCCGCAGGAGGGAAGTGGGGAGGGAAGGGATGAGCTCTACAAAGACACAGGCAAGGTTATCCCCGCTCCCCTCCTCCCGCCTGCGGCTGGAGGCAGCCCTGTCCCTTCCCGCCTTGGCACAGTGCTGACAGGCCCCCGCTGACCAACTTCTGGCGCAAACCCCGGGCGGAAATCTCGGGGGCACCTGACCCCACATGTCCCCCCCCCCATTTTCCCACAAGGAATGTTTCATTTGTTGGGGAGGGGGCTGGCTGCCCTGGTCCGCCCGCTTCTGGCACCGGTGGCCGCTTTACACTCCTAGGGTGTAAAGTGGTCTTAGTGTAAATGAGAATCAGCCCCCCACAAAGACCAAGACACAATTGCTGCTCTCGGCACCACAAATCCGAGAGGTTTCAGAGCAGCAGCCGTGTCAGTCTGTGTCCGCAAAAAGAAAAGGGGGACTTGTGGCGCCTTAGAGACGAACCAATTTATTTGAGCATCAGCTTTCGGGAGCTACACCCGATGCAGTGAGCTGTAGCTCACACAACTTATGCTCAAATAAATTGGTTCGTCGCTAAGGTGCCCCAAGTCCTCCTGTTCTTTTTACAAATCCGAGACTGACTCCAAGGACCTGCCCCAGTGTTCCCGAGCAGGGGGCCGCCCAGGAGCCTTCTAACCTGGGTTTCTGACCTAGGAGATGCCGGCTGGAAATCCCGCGGGGGATCAGTAGCGGGGCTGATCATTATACACGGCAGCGGGCACATGCCGTGTCCGGGGGGGCTGGCCGCGCTCCGCCCCCCCAGCCCAGGGGAAGCGAGTCTGACCTTGCTTCTCTTCTGCTCTTCGGAGTTTGCTCGGCCGACGCAGACAAGGCGCCTCTCGGAACCGATCTCAACTCCCCACCTCCCGAGCGCTGAAAGAAACGCTCCTCTTGGCCTCAGTTCATTTCACTCCCCCCCGCGGCTCGGGCCCTGGGTCCTAGCGCTACTGAGGTGACCGGACAGGGCGGAGTCTGCGACAGAGACAAAACCGGCCGAGTTGGACCCACAGCGCCGAGCAGACGCGGGGCTAACCCTGAAGAGCTCTGCCAGCAGGAAGACAGGCGAGGGGGCCAGGAACTGCTGAGGTCTACCCCCCCCCCCCCGAAGCCAGAAACAGGATGCTGTAAAACGTCATCTGATTTCTTTGTAACCAAGGAAATTGTGGATACAGTCTAACAGGGCTACCCCCTGGTATGGGACCCTGTGATTCTGCTATAAGAGTGTCCACCCCCAGAGACATGCATGGAAATACCTGAAGGTGTGAATTAAACCCCAGCTGGTTATTTTGGTCCCACTTTGCATGTAGACAAGGCCTTAACCTCTCTTTGCCTCCACTCTTACATTTGTACAATGAGGCTAATACCACAGACCTCACCTGGAGGATGTGAGGATTAATTAATTTGTACAGTATTTGAAGGTGAAGGGTGGGATTTTCAAAGCTCCCAGAAAGATCTGGGCACCCAGTTCCCATTAGAAGTTAAACACTCAAGTGAGCAGCCCTGACTCTGAATACTGCCCTGACCTGCTGAGTGGAGTGACTGATACGTTGACGTAGTCACTTTTCAGAGTACAGCCCCATGTTCCATGCCTAACCTGTTCGGAGACAAGCAGTGAACCAGACCCGAGGACGATTTCTTCTTCTTCTTCATAATTTATTTGCAGTGGTGCCCACTATGTATTAGGCACTTTCCAAACACTTAACAAGGACAGTCCCTGATAGGAGGTGTTCCCAACCTAGGAACAGAGGTCTGAGGAAGGGAAATAACAATAGGCAACTTACACCCTTTTTATTTAAAAATCAACAAAAGTCACTCTAGACAGCATGGCTGAGGTGGGTCTTTAGGAGGGACTTGAATGTGGATAGAGTAGGGACCCTTACAGATGAGCTCAGGAAGCTTGTAACATGCCAAGGCGGCTGCACGGGAAAAGACACGGAGGTGGTTGTGTGAGAATCTGCCAAACGAGCAGATGAGAACTGTGGAACTCATTGCCAGGGGATGTTGTGAAGTTCAAAACTATAATGGGATTCAAAAAAGAATTTAAGAAGTTCATGCAGGGGCACCATTTCAGATTTTGGGATGGGGGATGGGGGCAACTTTAACTGTGATTACATGGGCTACTTAGGCACCTGAAAACTTTTTTTTTTTCCAGACAATAATTTAGAAATTAGCTGACGGGAGCACTGTATCTAATTCCTATATACAGAAAGAAAATTAAATAAATATGAGACCCATTCAGCTCTAATACTAACATGTTCTGACATCTTGTGTCATGTCACTTAAGGGACACTGATCAGGCTTAACATTTTAAAGCATATGCTTACTCTTGAATATAACAATGGAAACAATTGTAGAAAAAAATCTAGATTACTTTCTATCATTTAGGCTATTTACTTTTTGCAGTTCACCAAGCTTGGAATAGATCATTTAATGTTTGGAAACATCCTACTAGGGAAAGGCCCTGCAACTTTATCCTGCACCTGCCTGGGGCTCTAGGGGTGATACCTCATGTCATAAATATAAAGGGAAGGGTAAACCCCTTTAAAATCCCTCCTGGCCAGAGAAAAAAATCCTCTCACCTGTAAAGGGTTAAGAAGCTAAAGTAACCTCACTGGCACCTGACCAAAATGACCAATGAGGAGACAAGATACTTTCAAAAGCTGGGAGGAGGGAGAGAAACAAAGGGTCTGTGGCTGTCTGTATGCTGGTTTCTGCCCGGGATAGACCAGGAATGGAGTCTTAGAACTTTTAGTAAGTAATCTAGCTAGGTACGTGTTAGATTATGATTTCTTTAAACGGCTGAGAAAAGAACTGTGCTGAATAGAATGACTATTCCGGTCTGGTTTCAGAGGAGCAGCCGTGTCAGTCTGTCTTCGCAAAAAGAAAAGGGGGACTTGTGGCACCTCGGAGACTAACCCATTTATTGGCGCATGAGCTTCCGGGAGCTACAGCCCACTTCCTGGGACGCTGCCGTGGGGAGATTTACATACACACAGGACACGAAACAGTGGGTGTCGCCACACACCCTGTAACCAGAGCGATCGCTTGAGACAGGCCAATTCCAGCAGGAGAGCGGGATCCCCTTACAGGGTGCGCGGTGACACCCACTGTTGCGCGTCCTCTGTGTCTATAAATCGCCCCCCCCCAGACCAAGACACAGTCGCTGCTCTCGGCGACACAAACCCGAGACTGACGCAAGGGCCGCGGCGGGCACACGCCGTGTCCGGGGGGGGGCCAGGCCTGACCTCCCGCCCGCCGCTGGACCGAGCTCAACCTCCCGCCCCTTCCTGCTCAGACCCCGCCCCTTCCTGCTTCGGGCCCCGAGCTCCTCCCGGAGCCCGCCCCGCCCCCGCTCAGCGCAGCAACGACGTTCCAGAGCCCCGCCCGCCGCCTGGGTCAGCTGACCCGTGACCCAGACGGGGCGCTGTGATTGGCTGCCAGGAAGGGTCAGTGGGGTCGTAAAGACCAGCATGGCGGAGCGCGGCACGGAGCCTGGTGAGCCGGGCGGGGAGAGCCGGGGGCAGTGGGCCGGGCCGGGCCGGGCTGGCAGAGCTGGGCTGGCTGGACCGAGCCGGGGGCAGCGGGGGCGGGGGCCGCGCCTGGGCAGAGCTGTGGCTGGAGGGCCTCGCCTGGGCAGAGCCGGGGGCAGCGGGCTGGGGGGCCGGGGCCGGGCTGGGCCGTGGGGAGCGGGCTGGGGGGCCTCGCCTGGGCAGAGCCGGGGCTGGGGGGCCTCGCCTGGGCAGAGCCGGGGGCAGCGGGCTGGGGGGCCGGGGCCGGGCTGGGCTGGGCCGGGCCGTGGGGAGCGGGCTGGGGGGCCTCGCCTGGGCAGAGCCGGGGCTGGGGGGCCTCGCCTGGGCAGAGCCGTGGGGACTCAGTGAAGTGGCTGGTTTTAATGGGCTCTGAGGTCCATTTCCTGCTCTGCTCGGCCGCCGCTACCGTGTCCAGGCGGGGCAGCCCCCGCCCGCCCCCCCGGCCTCCCTGGCGGTGTCTGTGCTTGGGGGGCTGCGTGGGACACAAGGTCGCGCCATCTCCTTGCTGCTCACTCGGCCTGTGGCCACTGCTGCACTACAGCGACTTTAGCGTGGCCGCCGGCTACAGCCATGCTGTTACTGATCCACCTCCCGCAGAGGCGGTAGCTAGCCTGGTGGAAGAATTGTTCCCTTGACCTAGCGGTGTCTGCAGCAGGGTTAGGTCCGCTTAACGGCCTCTCTCGGGGATGTGCATTTTTCACAGCGCCCAGCAGCACAGGTAAGTCAACGCACGTTTTCGGTGCAGAGCAGGGCTACGTCGGCACTACAGAGCCAATCAATGCCAGTAGAGCTGTGCCAGCCTCGCCCCGGCATACACCAAGAGGGCTTTTTCTGCACCACCTCACCAATGCCATTAGTTAAGCCAACTGAAGCACTTTTCGGTTGTCAGAGTTGGGGTTCTTGCTAGCTAGCTATGTTGATATCGGGGTTGTGGTTTTTTCCACACCCCTGACTGACCTAGCTATTCCAGTATAAGATTTAAGTGTGGACCAGGCCTCACATGGATTGCAAACCTCCCAAAGATTCTTCCGTTGACTCTGTGCTGCTTCATTTTGGGGAGGGAAGATAAAGGCAGGAAAGAGAACACTGTCTAAAGCAGTGATACTCAGATTGAGGTTCACGAGCCACAAGTGGCTCTTTAATGTGTCTCCTGCAGCTCTTTGCAACACATGGTATTAATACATTGTGTGACTTAATTATTAACCAATCAGGATGCCTTTACTATGTTGTTAACCAGTTGTAGTTGATAAAATAACACTTGGTCAGTCATTTTGCTATGAAAGTATATAAAATATTTAAAAACAGTAAATGAAAAATAATGAACTCTTACTACTGTGGCTCTTTTGGGTAATGTTGATTGTCAATTTGGCTCCTGAACCACTAAGGTCTCAGTATCTCTGGTCTAAAAATAGCATTTCAGTTCCAGAATTAGAATCAGTTAGTGGTGCTTTTTGCCACAGAAAGTAGGTTCTGTGTTGGAAGAGTGAGATGTGCCTAAAGCAATGATGAGTGAAGTATAGTTTGACCTGGTATTGCCAAGATTTTGTCTTGGTTCTGACCAGGGTGTGATAATGTAATCTTCTCTCTGAGCTGATTCTGGTTACATTCATCTAGAATTAATTATTCATTCTTTGGACACTAAATATTTTTATACATCCTTTTAAACCGATTGAATTATGTATCTAAGCAGCCATCCTGGTAGGAGCTATTAGTGAGGGAAAATGAGAGAAATCCAGTGTTCGCTTCTTATATAAAGCTTTGCACTAACTCATTTTTTGAGTAATCAGTTGTGTTAGGACCACTGCATCTTGACTTATTTCTGAGGATATAGTGAAAGCAGGTTACATTCCTAAATTCTCTTTTCCTTATAATGAGGGTGGCCTATTGAATCTTGGGTGTTCCATTTTATTTACCTTTTTACAAAATATGCAAACTTGGTTAAATTGTAATTGAGTAAATTATGCAATAGCTATTAATGAGGCCTTTTTAAACTGTGTTCTAATTCAGCTTTCATTTTCTTCCAGGTTTGAGTAACAGTTTCGTGTTCAGATGTCTGTTCACATGGAGCACAATGAACTAATTGGAGCATCAAATCCAACGCAGTATCTTTGTCAGACTTGGGTGGGGATTTTAGAGCAATACTGAATGCTTAAAGGATGTGACCAGTTAAGTAAAGCCTGCTTCATTAGAAAGAGGTGCTGGGGTAGAAAAAGATTTATTAATTTTTCTACTTAAAACAATAATTGAAGTGCAAATACAGACTGAAGTTCCAGTGTCATGTACAGTAACTACAATGTTAAGCGAGGAGTTATGTTCCTCAAAAATGCTACTTTAAGCAAAATGATGTTAAGCAAAATGATGTTAAGCAAATCTAATTTCTCAATAA